TGCAGCCTGCTGTAGGTGACCCTGCTTCGGCTGGAGGGTTGGACTAGATGACCCACAGAGGTCCCTTCCAACCCCTACCATTCTGTGATTCTGTAAGCCATGAAAACAGCTCTTTCACCGGACCAATCACTTTCCTCCCATGCAGAAAAACTGCTATAAGAACTGTAGTACATGCATGTAAGTCAAACAAATCATGTTCCACCCATGTGGTTTTAGCTGCGGTGTGTCACTAAAGCCACTCCTAGCCTAAAGCACAACAGCTGGAATGTACAAAAAGACAAGACAGATTTGTCATACGTCTACAGTAGTGGTGACAAATTCCGCAACCTCACACACCAAATGAACACTCTTCTTTTGTTGTAGAAATCTGCACTGGTGTTCTACCAGTATGGGGAAGTATTTTTAGAGCTTATGAACACCTCTCCACCTCCCTAATACAATAATGCATCTACTGATTCACCCAACTGATAGATACAGAAACATCAGCTGGTTGCTGGTTAACATATTTGGTGGAACTTCAGAATATTCCCGAAGGAATTACAGCATGCAACCTGAAAGCAGGAACTCCGCAAGCAGCGAAACACGGCAGAAGCTTCAGGTAGAGTGCTTCTTGACAAACCAGTTCGTATCTCAAAGGGATGAAGGCCAGCTCTATCATATACAAACTACACTGCAGAGAAGATGACACAAGTTAATTTTTCATAAGGGGAGAGAAAGCTACCTGTAAACAGCAGCTGTCCTAAAAAGACAGACACAGTATTTTTGTCATCAGAAATGAAGAGTCTAGCATTCCCCTGCACCTCTCAGCCCATTTCTAACAAAGCAGCAGAGTACCCATAGAAACAAATGGACCCACTTACGATGCACTAAAAGGAAAGCAAATTTCAAAGCAGTATATCCATAATTGAGAATTCTCCCCTACCAATCAACTTACTCAACACTTCTCTTTTTACTTATTTGATTCAAAATTAATACAGCAGACATAACAAGTAACATTACAGCAGGCAGAAACTCAAATATTTACCAAAGAAAAGGAAATGTAAAAGCAAAAACAGAAAAAACTATGGAGCAGGGTATCAGAATAAAATCTTCAGAGTTAGATGAAACAGTGATTTTATTATTATTAATGAAAAAATCTTTCAGAACACCAGGATGAACATACCCCTTCATTAATAATCACATCTTTCTGTAAATTCATGAGAAAAAGAATGCTTTTTTTCTTTTATGAAAACAAAGAAGAGGGGCAGAAGGAAGGGTCAGAGGCATGACTACTTTTAAGCATTTCAGTATCTATCATACACAAAGCCAAAAAGAATATGGAATCTTGCCTGCAAGGCAGATAACAAAATACTGCAGTGGTATCTGCTTCTTAAATTGTGAACTTCTCATTTGCTGTAGACTCTGCAAATTCTTAGGACACCAGGAAGAACAACAAGTTAGGCCACCTTCACCGGTATAATTGAACTCCTCGCCCTCAACACTAAATACTAGCATTCAACAAGAAAATAAGGAGAAACGTGAGTGTACAGAAAAACCTACAAAATCAATACAGCTTATTCCCCTCCTGTTTTTTGATGAACAAATTTAAGCATAAGCAGAACAGTAAAAACATAGAGCATTCATTGTTCTATAATTCAATACTGTGTAAGCATTATTATTGCTACTGACAATCAACCTTGACAACCACTGACATATTGAGAATAAATAAGATATAAGGAAGATCACCTCCTGAAGTCTGCTATCCACCTGGTGGAAGATGTGAAAACTTTCAAAAATCTCAAACTTCTCATAAAACAGATGTGTGTTACAAGTTCCAAAGCAAGATAACAAAACATCAAAAAATCACTGCAGAGGAAAACCAAGAGAGTAGTTGTTTCACATCCCCGCAAGTAAAGCCTTTTTCTGTACAAGAACAATGTTTCCTAACCATTCACACAGAAGATCCAAACCAAAGACGACCAAAAGGAGGCTTAACACACCTCACAGAATAGAATGCTAAATCCCAACAGACTGTTGGAAAATTATTTGAACTATTGTTAAGAGTAAACAGGAAACTCCATATTTGTTCTTTTCCTGCTGTGAAGGAAAACAACAGAATTTGCAAGACAAAAAAACCATCTGGTTAACTGTCTCAAGAAAATAAGTCAAAAAACCTTGTCTATAAAAGACACCTTTGCAAAACCGCTATAGTTTTCTTTTGGCCAAGAGAGACTACAACTTGAAAACAGAAAAAAAAAAAAGTCTTAATGAAGAGAAAAAAAATAAAACTGGTGTGTAAGTTAAAAAAAACAACAACACACAAGCAATAAAATTACATTGCACATTTGTGGGAGACTGTTGCTTGACCAGATGTTGAAAATCCAGCTAAAAATAAGCTTATTTCCAAAATTAAAGACTAGAGACAGCAATGTAAGAAAACTGTTACTCTGATGCTCTGTTCTCAAATTTCAGGACACACGTCCATATATTTATTTTGATGATAGTCATGTAAAATGTAGAAACATAGATAAGAAAAGAATACATTGACTAAAACCACTCTTTTTATACTTACAAATGAAGCACATATTGAAGTACAGCTTACACTGACATACTTAGAATTAGGAACTGTGTTACATTTCATCAAAAGATTTCTCAAGAGCTTGTTTACACCGTTTCACCTGGTGGCTACAGAAACTCATCAGTTTCATGAATTCTGCCTTTAGCCAGAAGTTTTGAATGCCACGTGCTCTAAGCGTTCTCTCCCGCACAATCACAATGCTTCCTTCTCTGAAGCACGATTTACACATTGCAGACAGTATTCAGGACATACTGTCTTGAAGCAGACAACACCCAATTTCAAACTGAAGTTTTGGAAGTCCACGTTGTGTCAAGTTGAATGACCTGTTTTGCCTACTTGCAAGAAACGGATGAAACTTTTCAATTTCCAGAGGTCTCTGTAATAGTTTATTTTTCTAGTACCACGTTCATTCCAAGGCCAACTCAGAAAAATGATGTGAGGTTCAAAAGAGGATGTTGGTTGACAAGAATCTCAGCATGACCCAGCAATGTGTGCTCACAGGCCAGAAGACCAACTGTACCCTGGGCTGTATCAAAAGCAGCGTGGCCAGCAGGTCGAGGGAGGGGATTCTGCCCCTCTGCTCTGCTGAGACCCTACCTGGAGTCCTGCATCCAGCTCTGGAGCCCCCACTACAGGAAAGACCTGGACCTGCTGGAGTGGGTCTAGAGAAAGGCCACAAAAATGATCCGAGGGCTGGAACACCTCTCCTAAAAGAAGGAAGGGCTAAGAGAGTGGGGCTGTTCAGCCTGGAGAAGAGAAGGCTGCGGGGAGACCTGATTGCAGCCTTCCAGTACTTAAAGGGGGCCTGTATGAAAGATGGGGACAAACTTTGTAGCAGGGCCTGTTGTGAGAGGACAAGGGGTAATGGTTTTCAACTAGATGAGGGTAGATTTAGACTGGATATAAGGAAGAAATTCTTTACTCTGAGGGTGGTGAAACACTGGAACGGGTTGCCCAGAGATGTGGTAGATACCCCATTCCTGGAAACTTTCAAGATCAGGTTGGATGGAGCTCTGAGCAACCTGATCTAGCGGTAGATGTCTCTGCTCATTGCAGGGGGGTTGGACTAGATGTAAGGTCCCTTCCAACCCAAACTATTCTACGATTCTGAGATTCTATGACATCTAAATACCTTCTTCGCAACTATTTCAAGTCATTTCTTAGAGATTTCAAGTTGTGTTACTGCAAATGAAAGTATCATGACTCAAGCTACAATGTCAAGTAAACTCCCTGCAGGACTTCGGGCATGCCATAGTTAAACAGAACAAAGGCTTTCGTCATTGTGATCTGCAAAAATTATTCCAGTCTGTCCACACCTGGTCCAGGAATCCAGTATATGTATCTCGTAACTGTTTACAAATCAAAGGCAGGCTAAGTAAAAAAGAAAAAAAAAAAAATTCAGAACAGGAAAAAAAACACACTCTCACTCTGGAGGGAAAAAAAAAATTCTTCTAGTCAGATGTACAGACAGCCATGTAAACTATCATTTGAAATATAGCTTTTATATTACTGTGTTCTTAACATTTTTAAAATCAGATAAACCTGCTTTACAAGGTAAGTATAAGCATGCTATTTTGGACAGGATGAAGAAGATAGGGACTATTTTGAAATTTGCTCTTAATTCCCTTCAATTTCACGCCTTGAGAGCAAATTCAAATGTTTTCTTACAGAGTATTCAGTCACCTGAGGGTTGTGAGGAACGTTCATTATTGGACTCCTCTTCTGTCATTGAAATTGCCATGGCAATTGTTGAAGCAGCAATGGAAATCATCTGACCAGGAAGCTCTGCCCCTGTAAAATATATACATGTATGTAAATAAAGAAAAGCTTAAGTCTTAGAATGTTGTATTTGTTGCTTCATATCCACCGAAGCGGTCAAGCAACAGAAATTATATGGATAGACACTGTTAGTTTTTAATATGTATTATGTCAATACGATCAAACAGGAATGACTGTTCTTACGTTTAGAATTACAATACACCTGGAGCCAAAGTACAAAATCAGTTACTTGCTTAGCACTTTCCTTGCTAATGAACTGCTACCAACCAAGTCATCCGCAGTTGCTGGCAGTCTGATTAATCTAAAAATCTCTATAAAAGATAATAATTTTTACTAACCAAGATTATAATGACTTTCATGAAAACTAAAAAAGCAAGACAGGAAAAAAGTTTCCCAAAATAATCACACAGCCAGTACTAGAAAGGAACACCTGACATTTACTTTTATGCAAAACTGACTTACAAGAGGTAAAACCTATTTTTCTCAAAGTCCAAACATAAACCGCAATTTTAAGAAACCAGTATTTTAAAATCAAATAACTGGACATAAGAAACTTGCTGGACAGAGTTGCATTAGTTTCTCTTACACTTGATATCATAGGAGCTACTAAACCCATATTGCTCATTTCTTCCAAAATTAGGCTCTGATTTCAAGCTTTCTGGGCTTTCTTTACGCTTGAAGCTACATGTATGGTTCTGTAAACTTAAGCAATCAGGCTTGATAATGAGAGTCACTACTTTGCTATGGAAAACAAACATCAGTCCATTGCAAAGATTTTCTGTGAAGAATCAAAGATTCACTTCAGCAAGCGTAAACCACTTTGAAACAAACATACCTAAAAATCTTATAGTAAATTCTTGCAATCTGTATGATATTGAATTTACACTAATACAGTCCAGATTCTTTCACTTGACTTTAGAGAACTTTTGCCTCCAACAATAAAAGAAATAGCGAGTCATTTCTTACCAGAAGACTCCTTTCCATTCTGCTGTTCATGCAACACGCCTACAGTCATCAGAACAACTATAACCAGAAACACAGGAATTCTCCAGGAACCTGCCACAGAAGCTGAAAGATACGGATTTTTTTTGTTTGTTTGTTTACAAGAACAGTTACATCATTAATGAACTTTATATTTAGCAAAACCAAGAAAGGCAGCACATCGGTGAAGAATAATCTGGGCAGAAACTCAGAAGTGTCATAAAGGCAACAAGTTTTCTACGTTCAGGAAAGCAAGAACAGAAAAAATAGGTGAAAAATTTTCTCAATGAATAAACCAAGTTGTTACCATTCCTAACCAAAGTATTTCAGCAGAAAGTCACTGAAGAGAACAATTTTTAAAACAACATGCAAAATTACATGAAAATACACACAAAATACAAACATTTCAGTCATCAGAGGCAAATCAAGTTCCCCTCCCAAATGTATATTTATGTCAGATCTCCATAGAGTTGCATCAAGCAGTGCCTTGCCTTCTTCAGTTTTGGTTTTGCAGCTAGTACTTCCACTAAATACAAGACTCAAAATGTAAGCAAATGCAAAGCCGTTACGTGTAGCTTAAAACCTCTGGAAAGCGTCCCGGCGTGGTCAGAACAACCCGTGAAACCTGATGCTAAAGCAAAGTAAATAACGAAATACACTGTGAAACCTTCCATGATGATAGTCTTCCATTATCTGCATGATACTTCCACCACAAACTCTGATATGGTAACATAATCTGATAATCTGTTATATGAAATACGTAACATAAATCTAATACTAATAGATTACTATAATCTTATATTTGTATTAACAGATTACATAGATTACTGGCAAATGTATTTGATATTGTTGATACCGTATCGACACGTTTGTTGACTACTGATAGAACTTTTTTTTTTGCTTCCATTACTACTATGAAATGCACTTTTCAGCTTCAGTCATGGCCAATGACAGGCTCTCAAGAAAACAGTAATATTAGAAATCATCCCAAGTGAAAGTCTGAATCCACCCACACGTGACCCCAGCCCTTCCCCACTGTCAGGGAGCTGGTACCAGGTCTGTGACTGCAAGAGCCAAATTAGGGAAAACCACGGGAAGCAGAAACCAAGTAGAAGGAGTGGAAGACACACATTGCTCAGCATCTTGTTGCCTTCCCATTCCTTACTTCAACGCTCCCTGCCAGCCACACAGCCAGAATTACTGAGCATCTCCGCTAAGTCTCCATTATAAGGATTTAGCGGAAGAGCAAAAACAGAATACCAGCGAACGCATTAGAATAGCAACTTGCTGTTACTCACCTAAATGAAAGAGCAGCATAATCCAGACAGGGACAGAGATCGCTTTTAAGTAACGTTCAGTGCTTGTATTCCACTTGAATGAAACCATCAGCAGGTAACCAACTACCAATGTCCATATCTAAGAAAAAAAGATACACACTGATATGCATACATACATGAGCACAATACAGCTGTATTTTGTTGTGTGCATACGCACACAGGCACATACCCCTAACTGCCATATTGAGAGGACTGAAGTCAGGTTCTAATTCTTTAAGAAGCCTGCATTTCAGAACTGCCAGTTAATTACAGGGGTTTTTGCTCCATGTAACAGAAACGTCGGTATGGTTCCAACATGTAGGGGATACATGCTTTGCTGGACACAAACCCTGAAGGAAGATGTTTTTGCTTCTGAGACCAAGCAATGACTACTATTGAAATGTGAGACCCTGAATGGAGCAGGGCCACCAGCAGCACCAGCGGCACCACCTATTCCAGTACAGAGCAGCTCTCCAGCTCCTGTGCTCCAGTCCTTGGAGACAGAGGAGGCTTTAAGCCAAACACAAATACAAGCTGGGCGGAGAGCGGCTCGAGAGCAGCCCTGAGGAGAAGGACTTGGGGGTACTGGTGGATGAGAAGCTCAACATGAGCCAGCAATGTGCGCTTGCAGCCCAGAAAGCCAACTGTATCCTGGGCTGCATCAAGAGAAACATAGCCAGCAGGTCGAGGGAGGTGATTCTGCCCCTTTACTCTGCTCTCGTGAGATCCCACCTACAGTACTGCGTCCAGCTCTGGAGCCCCCAACATTAGAAGGACATGGATGCGTTGGAGCGGGTCCAGAGGAGGGCCACAAAGATGATCAGAGGGCTGGAGTACCTCTCCTACGAGGACAGACTGAGGGAGCTGGGGCTGTTCAGCCTGGAGAAGAGAAGGCTCCGAGGTGACCTTATAGCAGCCTTCCAGTACCCGAAGGGGGCCTACAGGAAGGATGGAGAGGGGCTTTTCATAAGGGCATGTAGTGACAGGACAAGGGGGAATGGCTGTAAACTAAAAGAGGGCCGATTTAGATTAGGGATTAGGAAGAAATTCTTCACTGTGAGGGTGGTGAGGCACTGGAACAGGTTTTCCACAGAAGCTGTGGCTGCCCCCTCCCTGGCAGTGTTCAAGGCCAGGCTGGACGGAGCTCTGAGCAACCTGGTCTAGTGGAAGATGTCCTTGCTCATGGCAGGGGGCTTGGAACCAGATGATCTTTAAGGTCCCTTCCAACCCTTACCATTCTATGACTCTATTCTATGACAGCCATTAGGAAGCACAACAAAAACTGCAGTTCCTCAGCAGTGCTGGTCCACAAAACAGTCATACCTTTAAATGACTTGTGACATGTAATTTTATCAAGTATTTAACTAAAAACACTAGAGACAGAAAAACGTCCATGACAATGCATCAAAAGGCAGTTGTGGTCATTTTGGTTTTGCTGGTTCTAACTGCCTTCAGCGACTCTGCTCATCAGATAAATCACAATACATAATTCTAATTAAGAACCTTGAGATGAAGAATTTGAGCTTGAAAATGCTGAAAAGAAGTAAGTAGAAACCAGAAGAGGCAACAGGAGGTGAAAATCTGCTACTCAGCAGCAGATGTGAAATAAAAGAGGCATGAAGATCTGTAAAAATAAAAGCTCAGTGTTGCACGTCCAAAAAAAAATAGAAAAGAAAAAACCTGATATTTCTGGCACAAAGTCAACAAACATTCCCTACCCATAACCAGTTAAGGACACCTTCAAATTTACACTTCTAAATCCATAAATCCCAATGAAGTTTAAACACAACTTCTGTTAACAGCATTTGCTGAAGCAGACGTCACTGTAAGAAAGAATGCACTGGCAGAGACACAGAAGAAGTAATTAGACAGAACACACCAAAAGAGCTTTCACCTCTTTACTCTGCACTATACAACTCACAGTGAAGAGGCAACAGGCCTGTGAAAAGGTGGTTTTGTGTAACTACTCCCATGTACTTAATGGGTGTAGAGGAAATCTTAATTGTACTAATAAATTCAGCAGACAAGCAGCGATGGACCCCATTAACCTCAGAGGGAATGCTCACACACACAAGGTAATTTAAAATCGCTTAAGAAACACGTACCCTTTTCATACTGATCATTCTCAAAGTTGATCAGTCCAACTTTTCCCTGCTATCTATCTCTAGCTGTGCATCAACAGAGCTGTGTAATGCTTATGGCCAAATGTGGATTCAAGATAAATGTCTAAAACTAACACAACTCTTAGACATTAAGATTAAAGTCATAAACAACAACAAAAAAAGTATTTTTGACCTGAAATGCATGGCAGCACTCCTTTAACAGTACAGGTTCGAAACGTAAATTCACTCACAAGGTGTATTACAACACAACTGTAACTGCAAGAGATAATTCAGCATGAAGGTGCTATCCTAATCCCTAATACCAGCCACACAGCATCTTTGTATGATAAATACTGCAGCTTCAAGGCATTTTTTTCTCTTTAGCTTTTAAATCTAACGATAAATTACAAACAGGATAGTCAATAAGTTCAATAAATTAGACTTTCTGACTAAAAATACGCTAAAAGTAGGAGGTTAACAGGGCATCAGCCGATATTTAACAGCCAGCACAAGCAAAACATGATATACTGCTTTTAGCCATGTATGTAGCTGAACTAAAAGCTAGCATTTCAGGGTTTATGTATTCAATATTTTTTGTGTGTTTTAATTTACAATAATTCATCAATTCTCATTTCTAAAAGCTTACAAAATCACCTGAGTAAAAATATTTCTTATTTCTATTGAACAGAAAGAATTAGTTTATTTTAAAATAAACAAGTCCTTTTGTTTCAGAGATCAAACAATAACAGTTCTGAAGCCCTGTAAAAAAACCTAGCTAGTCAACTGACTGGTGCAAGAGGTTTAATTTCAGTGACACCATGGAGGAATCAGTTCTCTATCAGTTAATTTTACAGCCAAACACTTCCCTACGCTGCAAGAAATACACTCCATGGGAACTAGGGTAGCCTACTTCCAACCATTCACAGCTGAAAGCAACTGACAAAGCCTATTAACTTAAATTGACATGGACTAGGATTTCATCCCATACTAACTTGGCAACAGCCTACTTTTTTTGTTCCTTTAACCCTTTACATGCATGTTACATAACCTTCCCCACTGTTTTTCTGAAGGGTCTCCAAATGTTTTGGCTACAATTGCATGAGAATATGAATAGCCTGTTTACTATTATATGTCCATCTCAACAACTGACATCATAGAAATGAAGAATAAAAGATACTGCCTACTTTCATCCAAATTAAGCTACTGTAATTATTGGACTAAAACTAGAATGGATACAAGTTCATGCCTATAAATTTGATTTCTAAGGGTATACAGCTAATGAGGTAACTAAGATACACACTTCAGATACTGCAGAATGCATTAGCTACCATAAACTACTTATTTATCAAGCTGAGGTCAGTTGCAGATGCCTAACTTTCACCATGTACTCTGAGATTTTAAATGCCTATTCAATCATAATTCATATTTGCAGACACACACAACTCCCATACATCAGTATTTTAGGATCATTTAATCCTGTAAGCTTTCCTTCTTCTTCCTTCCCTTGCTTATCTTCATTGTCTCACCAGACAGCAAAGACCCCATTTCTCACATCTCCTTTGCATTTCATAGCACCACTTGCAAATTGAACAAAGTGTTTTGCCTTTAGACATAAGAAGTAAAACTGCCTGCTTCCCTGAATAAACAGCTGTGAGACTGCAGTGCAGCTTCTTGGATTTCAGCATCCACTTCTGGGTTACAGTTAGAAGGTCAGATTTAAAGACATCTAGGCCAGTTTGAAAGGCTGCAGTTCTCTTTTAATATACCAACTGGAGGCAAAGCTACACCACAGAAAGATGTAGCTTTTACGTTACGCTAAAGCATCTGCTTTAGTGTTTTGATTTTTCTTTTAAATTTCAGTGTTGGAAAGTCTAGGATTTATCAGCATGATCATATCACCAGTACTACTGAAAGTCTGTTTCCAGTTCCAATTAAAGTTGAGAGAATTTGAAAATCTGAGATGCTCTTTTCACTTTGGCATAACGTTTCAATGAGAATGAACCCTTTCTTACCCCTCAACTCTTGACAACGCTTATATTGCTTTATATTGAAGAGTATCATTCTTTATTTACACAGTTCACTCCCTTTTTTTCCTATCAGCAAGTTAATCTCTAAGGGAGAGGTTTTACAGATGAGCTCATGTAATAGCTCGCTGCTACTGAAAGCGGCAGTTCATTCTCTCCCACTGCCAGTCGTGCAGTCCCACCACTTCTGCACATTGGCTTCGACGTTCATCCAGTCATCTCAAGCTCCCTAAGCTGATAAAAAACTATCCACAAAAAAACCCAAGAGTTTATAATCTAATTCAGTCATAGCTAAACAGGCACACAGAGTTAAGACAGACACCAGCAACTGGGCAACTGAAGCATACATCGGAAGCGGAATAAGCAAGACCAGCTCCTCACTGGTAGCAAGGCTGTGGGAATGACTCGGCCTTCCTCGGAATGTTGCCTCAGAAATTCAACATCCAGCAGTGAACATGTTTCCTACCTGCTTCATGTAAACCACCCCACAGTAAACACAACAACGAAGACGGAGCAGAATAACCAACAGAGTTACTTCTTCTGATATATGCGCTGCCAACCTTCCAAAAGTTTCCAGTTTTTAACAAATCAGGACCTACCAAATGGCGTGTTTTAATCCTTTCATTTTCTAGCTGTAGTTCTACCCACTCCCTTTGCCGTTTCAAAGTTTTGGGGTTTTCCCAGGCTGCTCTTTTCCACTTGGAAAACATATGGCAAATTTTTTTATGGTTTGTTTTGGTTTATTTGTGTTTTTTTTTTTTTTAACTGAGATATTTACAGCTGTTTGATGAAACTATGGATCCAATTCAGGCAGTTTCCTATTTTCCAGTTTGTTTCAGTGTTGTGACAAAAAAAATCGACACTATCTCACCACTTCCCTTTAACATTTAAGAATAAAACTTTCATTTGGAAATAGAGATTTTCATTAGTTTTCCTTAAAATAGGAACTCTTTAAAAACATTGACCAAACACTT